TCCCTTCGGAAGAAACGCAAGCTCGAAAGCTTAGCTACCTATTTTTTTCTATTATTTAAGTGGTAATGTGCGTGTTTTTGTTCGTATTTAACCTTGAGATCTGCGTGTTGTGCATTGGTTGTGAGTTTTTAGGTGTTGCCAAAATCCTAAAGTCTATTGTGCTTAGTGTGGGTAAATGTAACAGCTTTTTGGAAGTCTTGGAAGAATAAAATAATAGAAAGGGTGAAAATTCATTGGGATGTGTCTGTAGGTATTAAGTCTTTTGTGAGAAATGTAATTAAATTGTGTTTTTTTTTTGTAAAAGTCGATATGTAGCTCGAACTGGAATCCCAGATTGGTGACGTTAAAATTTGTGAACGGGGAAACGTGGGGACCTCAATTTATTTTCGGCCAAGAGGGGCCCGCGGGGTGGGGAATATGACCCATGTCCGGATGTGTGTGTGTGGGGGGGAGAGTTTCTGAAACCGTCTTCCTCCCCTCGTGTAATTGATTTAGATTGTGTTGTAGCTGCCGGCATCTTTGTCGTGCGACTCAACGGTCTTCATTTCCGGCTGCTAATTGTCTCTTGCCCGGTGCCCTAATTGTCCTCCTAATTGAATTTGCACGCCGTTTTTATGAGTTGGTTCGAGGCCCTTTAAGTTTTTCCAAGTTTTCTCCGAGAATCTCCCACAGAATATCTAGGGGTTCTACAATTGCTTGGCCCATAGGGAAGATGGCATCATGGACGGAATTTCCTATATGGGAGATGGCTTCATAGATGGAACTTCCTATATGGAAGATGGATTTTAAGACGGATTTTCCTATATGGAAGATGGATTTTAAGACGGAATTTCCTATATGGAAGACTGCTTCCTGCAGCTGGAACAATCGTCTGGTTGGCAGGGTATATGTTAGTATGTGAATTATAATTGTATAGGAAGCGAGTTTGTATGGTATAATAAGAAGACATATAACAGAGATTAGGTGAAAAATGGGATATTGGCACATCTTCTTCCATGTTTTTGCCATGAAATGTGGCTCTGGAATATCTGGTAGGACTTCTATTGATTGTGGTGGGTTTGAAACGGGGTGTTTTTGTGGTTGGCCTATGTCGCATTTCTTGTTACCGTGGGTGAATTACGTGGATCGTTTTTTGGACAAAATGGTAGGATCTAATTGACTGTCAGGTTCGCTGTCCATCAGTTTGGTGGTCAAGGATTCTGTTGAAGAAATGTCGGGTGTAGGTGTTTTAAGTGGAAACGTGCAATCGTCTCTCTGTCTTAGATGGTGTAAATTTGTTATTGTTTGTATTGTGTGTGTGGTATGTTTTGTGTACGAATTTAGTTTGTTTCTGTGGGTTGTATCGGTGTCTTTTTGGAGAGGTTGGTTGGATTCATCGATACTTCTTGCGAATTGGCAGGTGGGACAGGTTTTTACCTGTTTTGCAATGTCTTGTGTCATGTTCTGCCAATAATATTGATCAGAGATGAGTCTCGTCATCTTTGAGATATCTGGATGGTTGTGTTGTGTGTGGATGGATTTAAGAAGTTTGGTTGTGAGTGTTTTTGGAACTATAATTATAGTTACACCTTTTCGGGAAACGGTATGCAGTCCATTGTGATCCATGGTCAAGCTAGACTTTCCCGATGGGGAAGGCTGATGGCTCTTAATGAGGAAGGCGTCTAAGAAGCCACAGAACGGGTTACGAAGTATGGCGACCGTTTCATATTGTTGTACCCCATTTATGCTACGGACCTCATATTCGTATCTCGATAGCCTTAATCTCCATCGAAATAGTCTGCCTGACGGGTTTTTGATCTCTTTCAGCCACTGCAATGCGTGATGGTCAGAAAATATTGTAAATTTTCTGTCCATCAAACTGACACGGAAATTATCCACACTCTCCACAATTGCTAGGCATTGTAGTTCAGATATGGAATAACTCCGTTCGTGTTCCCGCAGAGCGCGACTGAAATTTTGCACTGTGTAGGTCTCCCCATCAGGGTGGACCTGTTTGAGGACGCCTGCGATGCCGAGTGTTGAGGTGTTACAGTACACCTGGCATGGCAGACCTTCCTGGTAAAGGTGTAACGTGGGGTGTGTTGTTAGGCTTTCTTTCAGGTTAGTGAACGCTTTCTGGCATTCGTCATCCCAGACCCACATGACATCCCTTTTTAGAAGGTTGACAAGTGGCGTCCGCAAGCGGGCGTGGTCCGGAATGAACTTTTTGTAAGCGTTCACAGCGCTTAAGAAAGATCGCAATGTTTAGCGATTGTGTGGTTGTTTGGTGGCGTGGATTGTCTCTATGTTTCGTGTAGATGGTGTAGTGGTATTGTCAGTGGTTGTGCATATGTTTGCTTGGTGTTGTCGATTTTTGGTGCGAGTGTCGCGCTTGTTGTGCGTGCGACTGTTGGGTGACGACGTGTGGTCACGTGGGTGTTTTGTGGGTGAGCCGTCCTGTTGGATGGATACTGTCTGTGTATTGTTGTAAGTGTCGTGGTTTTCGCGGTGTACACGTGTGTGAATTTTGCGTGACGACGTATGGTCACATATGTGTTTAGTGTGAAAGTTGTCCCGTTGGAAGGACATATTTTGTGCATTGTTGTTGCAAGTTGAAGCCGTTGTGGCCTTGTGAGTTGAGGGCATATAGTAAAGGCAACTGGCCTTAGTGGAAAAGTTGTGTGGTGCGGGCGCGTGACTAGATTGGCAGGTGGGTGATTGGGTTTTGACCAATGAATGCACGCAGTGGGTGCCATGTGCGGAAGGTTTGGGTGCATGGCAAGTCCTTTGTGACATCGCTTGGCACTCCCAATACGTGCATTCATTGGGTACATGGTTGAAATGGTAGGTAGGGGTAGACAATGGAGCGCCAAGTTGGAATATAGTGCCTTGGTTGAAATCTATTGTTAATTTAAAATTACGGAGGGTATTTATGCTGAGAATTCCAAATGGTAGAGGTGCTTTCACCACATGGAAATTCTCTTTTCTAGTGATTTTACCTATTGTCAGAGGGAGGGTCAGTTCAGCTATTGTTTTTACAAGACCATTTATAGCCTGTAGGTCTAGAGACTGGTTTTTTAATTTTAAATTAGGAAGGTTAGTTTTTAACATTTTATACAGATAATGGGGCACTATATTCAAACTTGCGCCTGTATCAATTAGGAATGGAGATGGCAGTTCAGAGATTAGAAAAAGTTGCATCGTCAACTGGGTGACGATTAAGGGTTGAGGCCTTCTTACCTCATTTCCGAAAGGCCTCCGCGGCTTGTGCGTCTTCGGCGTGGGGTGAGGGCGTGGGACGCTGGGCGTGCTGCTGTGTTGGGGCCGTTTGCACTGCCCGTGCACTCGTGTGTAGATTTTGGGCTATTTGTACTGCCCGTGCGTTTGCGTGTGGTGTTGGGGCTGGCCTATGCCGGCATTCGCTGTGCCAATGACGAGCGCCGCAGAACTTACAGTTTGACGGCGGAGTAGGTGCAATCCATGCACATGTTCGTCGGGGTGTGCTGGGGTATGGACCCGACATGGTGGGCGGTTGTTCCTCGCGGTGTCGTGCCGTTGGTATGTTGGGCCCGTGGATCCGCTGTGCCAGTCGGAACCACTCTCCTAGGCTCTCAGGAGGTACCACGCGGACCAGGCGCTGGTCGGAGAACGGCAACCCCTCCGTCAGCGTCTCGAGGATCACCTCCTGTGGGAGTCCCAGTTGTAAACCCATGGCGGTTTTCTCACGGTAATACGTCTCCAGGTCGGCTTGTCCAGCAAGCTTCATGGCGAAGTATTTCGCGAAGGATGCTTCGCTGGATTCCGGATAGAGATCCGTGAGGATTTGTCTCACCTGGAAATAGCTCTGGGCGGCCAACCGGAGTTTCCTGAAGAGTTCCAGGGGTTGGCGCGTCAGATAGTTTGGCAACCGGAGTAGCTTATCGGGGGCGTCTACGTGGGCGTCATCCATCTTCCGGTCGTAGGATTGGAAGAATTGGCGAGCGCTGTAGGATCCATCGAAGGGTGGGAGTTCCGCCTCTGGTCGGTCGGACGGCCTCGCCTGGGCCAGCACCGCCGCTAGCTGTAACAATACGCCCGCTAGGGGTTCAGGTTCCCTCCCGTTTCCGGTCGTCTCCTCCTCTCTCGATAGGTCACCGTTATTTTTTACTTCTGTATTCTGGTCACTTTCCATTTTATCCTGTCGACTCACTGTAACGTCGGGACGTTTACCTTTTGGGGTTGATGTGTTGAATTGATTGGTGATTGATTGAATTGATGGGCGCAGTCGTTACTGAAGTGTTAAGGTGTTCTCACAGGGGAAAATAACGAAAAAAACACAGGATTTGGATTGGAAAAGGCTAGCGATCTAGGGAGAAAGGGGTTGAAGCTATTTTGACTGAGTTGCTATTAACTATGGCTGTTCACATGATTTAGGATTAGACTTATCTGATCGTTTGAGAGGGTGGTGGCTGGCTTCTAACCGGTTCCTTGGTCGGTCCAGGTGTTAACTCGATGTTGTCCAGGTCCCAACTGACTAAACCCAGTACGCGATTTAACACGAAAACTATTAAGGGCTTTGATTGGCTGGTGTTTGAGACGTGTAAGCTTTCTATTGGTTCCTAGCTAATTCTCCTATTCTCTGATTGGGCCTTTGCTATCCTTTTGTTCTGGACTTGTTCTGACCTGATCCAGGAAATACTAGGTTCTTGAACCCAGTTTTATGAGTTCCTGGATAATAAAACCTGCTAATGATTGCTTCCTCTTTGATGGCCTTTCTCTAAATCTTTCTCCCAGATTTCTAAGCCTTGTTTTTATTAAAATATTTTAAAACATACATTGCATACATATTGTGGTGGGATTACACATCCAGTTATGTACAAATTATGACATAGACACTAGGGTAAAATACACTCAGCATATGGTACTCATGTTTCCAAGCTTTTTTTATGAAAAAAGAAAACTGAAAATTATTTGAAATATATTTTTTTATATGATGAGTCTCATATATAGACTTTGAGAAATGATCTGTAAGTATAATACATACGGCCATAATATCGCATTGAAAACATTGGTTCTCTTCTGATCACTGTAATTAAGTAATATCGGGTCTGGTCAGTACTTAGGATGGGGACCTCTTGGAGAAACTGGGTGCTGTTTGTAAGCTATTTCTTTGGATCTCGGAAAGTACTGGAGATATTTTTCAGAAATTTAATTTGGTTTCAATCCCTATTTGCACCTCCCAGTGTGAGTACAACTCCGGTATAGGGCAGGAAACATCCTAATGGGATGGCTAACACAAAGGGGGACAGAATGAAAGCCTGGATAAGCTTTTGACCCCATTCTTATAATGAAGTAGGGCACTTTCTTGTTCATGAGGGAGAAATCGCTTCAAAAGGCGGAAAAGCTTAATTTATTCGGCCAACGGCATAGACTGAAGGGACTGGCACAAATCACTTCTGAAAACTACATGGACAAAGTTATCTACATCCAAGAAGCAAATGGCCTTCCAGACCTTTCGGTCCATAAGCCGAAAATGATCTACATACTGCATTTGAGCGTAGGATAATCGGAGCTGCTTTCAAGATTAAGGTCGAGGATCTTGTCCGAAAAATAAACTACAGCCAATACCATAAAGCCAAAAAAAAATTGGAACCTGAATGTAAGAATCAGGGAATGTTAGATATTCAAGGTACAATTAAAAAGTAACCGAATATTTTGAAAATCAAGAGTTAAAAAATCCACAATATATATTTAGAAAGAGAGTTATTTTAGAATAAAACCTGAACAACAAATAGGCCTGGTAACACTGGTAATAGCGCATGCGTAAATCTCATTGTAGTAAGATAAGGTTCTTTGTTTATCGCTCGCGTCGGATTTTGTAATGTCGGCTTTTGAAAAAAGAGCTAACATATAATGTTTTAATAAATTAAATAAATATTTAATTAGACATTAATATTGTTAAAGGAAGCGTATGAAGATGAAAAAAACTCAGAAACTCAGATATATATTTCTAGTACAATAGATTTAAAGATGGCCGTCAGAGATCTAAGGTCAGGACGTCCCTCAACTTCGAGGACGGAACATAAAATCCAGCAGGTTAGTGATTTAATTTATGCTGATAGAAAAATGACTTTTGAAACGATAGCAGAAAGGCTGAAATTTCATATGGTAATTGCCAAACCATTGTTCATGAACATTTGAACATGGAAAACTTTGGGGTTACTATGTTCCATGACATCTAACCGTACAACAAAAACAGAACAGATTAGAATTTTGTGATTTATTTGAAAGTAAAATTATAATAACCGAGATATTTTAAAAACAATAATAACCGGAGTTGAAACTAGGTGCTAACTTATTGATCCTCAAACAAAGAAACAAACAGTGGAATTACACACTCTACCCCTGTGATTTAAAAAAAAAATCCTAAGCTCAAATTAGTATTAATGAGAAGACGCTTTTCTTCTTCTAAAGAGGTTATTGAATATACGACTTTGAAATAAACAAACTCAGGAAAATGGAGTATGAAATCGCTTTCAAACAGCTTTTAGACCGCTAGAAAAATGTGTAGATAGGGGAGGGTCCTATTTTGAAAAATTAAATGAATAAATTATTTAATCTTTAAATATATTTTTATTATTAAAAATTTCGTTTACTTTTTGATCGTACCTTGTAGTTAAAGACACAAAAAGGACTACTTTTGACGTCCAAGGAATAAGTGATCTGAAATGAACTGGAAAGAAATAATTTACTCAGATGGGTACACAATATATTGGTACGTCGTACCCAGACACTATTCGTGTACTTTGTCTACTCAGGACGCCACAAAGATACACATGTGAGTTCGAAGGGATTGCAGCTAAAGTTAGCGCTTTATTGTATTTCACTTAACAGAAGGAATACAAAAGTGGGACTTGCCTTCGACCTCCCCGTTAGAAGGATCCTTGGCACCGTGGACGTCCTCTTGTGAAGCGTTCCGCTCCACACTATACACATGCAGCCTGGCCCACATCGCCTTGTAGGTCGCTCCAATGTCAGTCTCTCCTGGCACCGCCTTGTAGGATCATTCACACGCCCGGAGGCAAACCGCCACGTCTTCTCCTTGTCGCAGATGTAAACAGACTCTTCCCTCACCGAAACAGGAATGCTGTTTTTAGCGCCTGCCACATGGCAGCGGGGGCAGCTAGAGTTCACCCCTCTTTCCCCAACTTTACTCTAGTATCTTGGCCTTGTCGTCCATGTAACAATATTCGGTATAAAACTGGTGTCTTTTAATAAAAGCTTTGTGTGTGTGAAAGTACACAATATATTACTCTGGAATTTCAAAGAAGATGGTGTAGCAATCATACTCAATTTTAATATATGAATGATTTAAAAAAAAAACTTGAAGAATTAATAGATACACTACCAAGCAGAGAGAATTCCTTTTACTGATTGGTCACTGGAATGTAGAGTTACGCAGTGATTACTGGTAGATTAATAGAATAGGGGTATTGAGGGTGCTTCTTCTCAATATAGATTGGTGTCTCTCTTTACTCCGAGAGACGACCTAGTGCCTTCAGTCCAGCTACCCGACCAGCTCCGCAACACCAAGGGAAGAGGCTTGAAGAACGACTACCAAACGTCCAAGTATCTTATCCAGAACTCCTTTTTATTAAAAACACGCTCAATTTATACAACAAAGAAATTTACATACTTTTTCTCCTAGTTTTAGTTAAATATATTTGCATAAAGTTGACTACTTTAGTAGTCGTAACATACTCCCCCCGCTGTTGAACAGGAGTTCAACAGAAGAAAAGAGTGAAAAAATATACATATTTTCACAATCTTCTGGGTTGGAAAAATTTTCCTCCAGATTTTTGAGGTACGGGGTACATGATCAAAATCATCAATACAATCATTTCCTGCCCAACCCACATAAATATCGATGGATCTTTGTGTCCTTTAAATGATTTATCTTCTCATACCAATCTATAGACTCTTGACTTATATCCTTTCCCAGGGGATCATTTCATCCACCTGCTCTATTCTATTGAAGCGATGCAGCAGAGAAATAGAAGAGAAGACGTGGGGAAGCCAAGAGAGAAGGTATGCCGGGGCTCCTTCAGGGAAGTGTGGATTGACGAAATTCCAGAGGAGGGGGGTGGCAGACGGGCGGGAGGCAGTCCAGCTGGTGCCGCGGTGGGGAAGGGATCAGCCGAGTCAGCTGGCCGGCTGCCGGGGATTGGTGTGTGCCGAGAAGACTGTCTGGCAGAGATAGCAGTCTGGGGGAAGAAGTCTGTCTGGTGACAACGGGACCTGCAGCAAGGAGAACGGCGGTGGTGACAACAGACGCAGCAGGTGGGCACCGAACGTGTGGCCATATGGACTGACCGGGAAGACGGTAGCGGAGAAGGATCCCTCTAGTGGCGGACATTGAAGGCAAGTTAATCTTCTACTGTATAGTTACTTATCTACTCTTTTAAGCTCTAATAAATACACCGCACTAAGCTGTATCCAAAACGAACCCACATTGTTCTCTTTGAAACCTTGAACGCAAACATCGACGGCTGAGAAGCGTCGTAACATTTGGTGTCAGAAGTGGGATACAGCTTAGTTAATTTTAATTGAAGATTTTATTTTGCGCTAATTTAAAAAGGAAAATGGAAAAACTAACCGACCTCGAAATTGAAAAATTCACAAAATTGCTCAGACTAATAAGCCAGAAAGTAGATGAGCTCGGAGAAAACTTGGATACTCGATTGAGCCGACTGGAGCATATTCGGAATGTCAAACGTTCTGCCACACCCATGTCTTGCGAAGTTAAGTTCAATGTACTACCGCCAGAAAATCCTGATGGCTTTTCAAAACCAATCACAGCAACCAATAGCCCACGTATTCAATGTCTGAGGGGACAAAAGACAATCCCAGGTGATGAAGATCCCGACAAGACCATCACAACAAAGATCATCACGTCAGGAGACGTTGTAAGTGAACTGCCAGAATCTACGCTAGAAGATTCTCCCGTGATCCATAAGTCCGAAGAGTGTCGACAGCAGGAAATGATCCAGACTGGTTGTGTAGCGGAGGAGGGTGAGCTGATCGCCTCCGACAACGGCTGTGGCACGAGTGTTTTGTATAAAATCAAGCGGACGGAAGGAGAATGCCCTCAAGGTGATATACAGAGCGAAAATTCAACCCCTGGGATTCTTTCCGAAATACTCCATGAGAACAGCAACGATCTTGGCGAGCTGCAGTGCGACAGCGTGGCTGACTTCAGCGACAGTGTCAGACTGTCAGGGACTACAGCGGCGATCCGACTGGACGGGACGGAGCTGGATGCTCCGTGGAAGTGCGACAAGGCTAGATGGTCGAAGCACCCTGAAGTTGGAGCCGGCAACCTGACTGAACGGGATAGAGCATTGGACGCTCTGTGGAAGTCCGACGACAATGTCTGTGACGCGGAAGTCGCGCGCAATGTGTCAGCGCCGTCGTCTGCAATGCAAGCTGAAGAGATGTGCCAAGAATGTGTACCATTCATCTCCGTTCCTTCGCCCGACAAGGTGCAGATCAAGCAGCCACCGCCTAGGAAAAGTTCTACCGACCTTGAGACTGCCACGGGATCCGACACCTCCAGAAGGTTTAAGAAATTCACAGCCCTGTGCGTGGTCGGCACTAAGGAGCCCAGGTTTGAAGGGTTAGGAAAGAGAGAGCCTCTAGAGCAAGAGAATGGGAAACCTAAAGAAGAAAAGGGAGGCCACGAAATGGACAGCGTGGATCAGGTGGACGAATCCACTGTAAAGATCGGCGATCTACAGCCCCGTCGTGGAAGGAAGCGGCGAAAGCGCAATACAAACGATCACAACCCTTTGTACATTGTGGCTACAGAGTGTTCTCAAGGAGAATTCAAAATATCAGATGGGAGCATCGTAGGCAGTGAAATATGGCCGCCATCTTGTGGAGAACCACCGCCCTGTGCTAGACAGCGAGACCAATCAATGGCGTCGGCACTGGTTCAGAGTGGAAAGAAAGCCCGAGTTGAGATGTGGTTCTGCAAACAAGGGTTGGTGTTAACCCTGCCGCTACGTTTCCGGGAGGCGGACGACCCTCATGTGGCCAGAGACGTCAGGGGATCAAAGGGCCGCCGATCAGCGCCTCTGGTGAAATCAGCCTTTTCGGGA